AGAAGGACAAGAAGACTAGTGATGCAAAGAAGGAGGAGAAGACTTCCGAGGAGCGCGCGAGAACTGAGAAAGAGAAGGAATCTTCTGAGAGATCAAAGGACAAGAATGATGAGAAGACAAGTCCAAAGGATGCTGACAGAGAAGAAGGTACTGCGATGACATCGGAGGTTGAGAGTGCAAAGGATGAGAAGAAAGACAAGAAGGAGGATAAGAAGGCAAAGGCAAAGAAGGATGAAAAGACTTCGAAGGAGGCTGCAAGTTCAAAGTCCAAAGAGGAAGAGGAGCATGATGAGACAACCAAAGAAGCTGAAAGGAGTTCGAAGGAGGTTGAGAAGGATGAGAAGAAGAGAGGAAAGAAAGAGAAGAAAGCTGTCAAGCATGATGAAAGATCTGAAGAAGATAAAGCAACTCTGCGAGATATGAAAGAAGTGCCACCCAAAGAACCCGAAAAGAAAAGGAAGAGCGCATGCAGTGAACTATCTACAACTGCAACTGGCAGTTCTGAGTCAGTCTCTGAGAAAAAGTCCAAAAAAGATCCTGCAAAAGAACGTGGTGACAAGCGAGGATCGGTTGCACCAAAAGGTGAGAGCCCAGAGAAGAAGAAAATCAAGTCCAAAGTCACAGAGGAGTGGGGTGGGGGCTTGTTTGTGGGATGCAACTATTCGAGAATGTGCAAGCCCGTCACATAATGATCAAGAATCCCATGGTTCCATTCCCTTGCAGCCGGCCTGTGCTCAGGAGGATCTCAGCCGTGCGGCATCTCGCCTGGACTTCCCATCTCCTCCTGCGCCAGTGGAAAGGGTCAAGACTATGCCCAGCATTGAGATGTTGGAGACACCGTCGACGGTAACATCGAGCCCTCCAACTTCGATGGCCAAGGACTGTTGCACCATGACTACAATATAGCCCCCATGACCATCCAAAGAACTGCCCCCCCTCAACTCTCAACCCTAACAATATTTTAGCGTGCAGGACTCAGAAGGTTCTTCGACCAAGACAAGTCGTAAAAAGATTCTCACCCCTGAAGAAAAGGCAAGCTTGGAAGCAATGGCTTGTCCGGGTGAGATGCCTCCTGACGAAAGGAAGCGACAGTACAGTGCCATGCGCAGGGCAATTGTCAAAACCTGTGAACCAGCACTGTTAGCAAAGTTTCAGTTGGCCAACGATTCCGAGAGGCCGATCATTTTTGATACCATGTGCTAGCTTTGCTGCAGTTTCACCTCATTCTATCAATGGCAGCTATAGACCATCTGTAGGTACCATCCCTCCCATCAGGTGGTCGATGCTCAAACAATGGCTTCTCAATGATGGCAAGACGGACTCCATTACAGTAGAGGAGAAGTACTCGAAATGGGTTGAGCAACTTCGTTCTGACCGTTATGTAACTGTTCCGGGGCATGCAATCAGGTATGCAAGTGAGCTACATGTGTTATGCATGCAACATAGCATCGATCGGTTAATGTACATGAACCAGGTTACCAAACTGCAGCTGTACAAGATCTATGGGAAAAGCAAAGAGGCCAAAGCATTTATCGATGAGCTGTGTCGTGGCTCCTAAGCAAACACTGGAGCGTATTGATCAAACCACCTCGATAAATTGAAGCACTGTATCATCCAGCATGCATGCGTGCATATTCTAAGGACAGCAGGGTGTGCCCCACCCGCAGGCACCAAATGTTGAAGCTGCCAAGATGTACAAAGTCCTCCGAGAAGTGCTGGAGACAACCAGCAGTGGATCTCGGAATGACCTTGCGATTGGGACCGGAGGTCGGGTGCGGGATGAGGCCATGAAGTCGTTGGTGGCCAAACAGCTGGGTGTTGCCACGGGGAACTTAGAAGGACAAGGCTTGTTGGACCTCAAGACTGGCCGCATCCAGTCGAAGAAAGCGAAGAAAGAAAAAACGCCTGAGCAGCAAGCGTTAGTGGAATGCAAAACGCTCTCGAACAAGTTCCCTAGCGGATCGATTTAGTTTTCGTTAGGGTTGGCCCATGAACTTTTCCCTACCTTCGATTCGTGTGTCTCGTTTCCAAGGTTCAAGAGGATGGCAAATGAGATTCCTGCTTGCATCAAGGACATTGCCGATTATGATGTCAGGAATTCTTCTGAGCTAGCATCTTGGCATTCGTTTGATCTCTTAGGTAGTGGAAGGCTGTGCATGCACAGGTGTACCTTTATACCAGCTTCTTCAAAATCAAGGTTCCTGATCCTTAGGAGGCTTAAGTGACGTTATCACTTTGAAGAGCCATATATATATATCAACCAAACCTCATATTATAGAGCTGATCGATACCGGCCAGTCATGTAGTTAACTATTGAGGTCCGGGTCCTTCGAGCTCATGAACCCACCTTGGATAGGTGTCAATCTGAAGTCCTCGCGAAGCTTGATCAGCCAGCTTCAGAAATTGTTGCTGATGATCTGTTGGCCTTTATTGAAAGCCACAAGCCCTTTTTGAAGGTGCTCGAAACTGATGTTCGCGATGCCAAGCGTCGAGTGCAGAACGCTAAAGGGCCCCCCAAACGCAAGGCGCCTGCCGCTGAAAGTGGCAGTGACGGAGGCTCTGCTTCAGACTGAGGATTGGCTGTTGGGGTGCTATTCTACTGCTGCAACAGTCATAGGTCATAGGTAAATCATAGACTTGCTAGATGCTTGCCACTTGGTAAAATTTGTTTCGATGCCCACAGTCCAGGCTTGGCATCCTATCACTCAGGGTTCAACCATAAATGTTTGGCTGCAAGCTGCTGGTCTTGAGTCCTCGCGTGATGCTTGGTTCGAACTAGTAGCTAGTGTGTGCACCCTGCATGCTACCATTGATTCACTTTGTATATAAACTGTGTAAACCAGCAAGTATGCAGCGGGCTTTGTCCAATGTGTGAATGCACATATTGCTATCAGCCCGAGTTCTGGCAGTCTGCCATAGGGGACACTCCATGGCTTTGGCGTCACATAGGCGCAGAATCGTGTGCAAGTGAACCCATAGCTTTGGTGTTTTCAGGGGTTCTGGCTACTGACAGAGTAGCACAGCTTTGGAACATGATCTCCATAGATCGTGAAAAGGATTGAATTCAATCGAACATTTCACGAACAAGTGTTGACCCATAAATGCAACTCCAGCCAATCCCACCCACATGCGCTTCACCCCTGTGCCTCATCACTGTGTGGAGCTTTGAGAGTGGATTGCGCCCAGTGGCAACTGCACAGGCACAGGCACCGTGCACGTTCGCAGGGGCCACTCAAGGGGAGTTGAGTGGGATATTGGACAGTTGTGGAAACACAAAGATCCATTGATCCACCCTGAACCCATACCCTTTTTCATCCTTTTTCCAGGTGTGACCATGCATGCAAAGGAAAACATAATTTATCGATCCTTACTTAGCTGTTGCAACCATGGACCTGGTTGAAGAGTTTCTCGAGCTTGGACGACGGGTCTTTCGACTGCAAGAAGAACTGGTGAATTGCAAGCTAGCTGGAATTGTACTATATACTTCGAGTTGGTACCATGCTTAATTATATATACTGACGATCATACCTCGGCCTAGGTTAGTGTATCCACCCTGATGAATTTGCTATCAGTGATTCGGAGAAGATTTCCTCGAAGGCTTCTTCCGCAACTTGCCGATTGTATATTTGTGTGATTCAGTCCTTGTTCAAATGAGCCCCCTTAACAACCTAGCTGATGGAGTGTGCTTTGGATTTGAGGCCTAACTTGGTGGACCTTCTGAACATCAAGGCCAAGAAGAACGACCGGAATGCACCTAGAAACTTCTGGAATTGGGTCTACAAGCAGGAATGGAGAAACATGTTGCCAATGCCATTGGAGTGCTTCAGCTGTATCACACTGCCTGAATGTATATAGATCGATAAAATACTATCTCAAAATCAGTCCACTGCATCTCCAAGGGTGCCAGTGGTCCTTCAAGATGTTTCTGCAGAGCAGCAACACTATTTGGGTAGCTGGCATGTTTTCTTGCCTTCTGAAGTGCCCCCTGGCTCGTTGCTTAGGTGAGTGCAACAGTGCATGCATTGATATGTGCATGAGCTCATGCATTTATCCTAGGTTTGCGTCGATATACAGTTACGACTTCCAGTTGTTTCAGCAGCGCTTTTTGGGAGAACCAGGGGTAGCTTGGATGCATTCTCTGACCACGTCACATATGCTAACTTTTGGCAATTCACTTTCATTGCCTAGGCAATCGATCGATTTTGGGCACATATGAGGGACACCGATTTCTTCAAGCAGCATCCGGTCCTCTCGAACCCAGTGACTTGAAAGAAAGTAGGTTAGGCTTCATGCACATAGTATACATGCAACTACTGTGGTCCACATGCGAGGCCACAGATCTATCGAAATGTATACCCCTCATTTGCCACGGGGATGATGCAGAATCCCATCGACGGAGATCATTCATGGTGACCAGCTTTGGCTCATTGTTGGTTGGGAACTGCTCTCCATGGGACAACCGTTTTCTGTCCTACTGTTGTGACAACAACAGAGTATGTTCAGAGACCTTGGACAGCTTAGACAGTTGGCTGGCATGGAGCTACACTGAACTGATGTGTGGCAGATGGTTACAGCATGGCCCTTGGTCAGAGATTCTCCCACACCGCCGGAACAAAGCTGGCAAACTCCTGGCGAACGGTTACAGAGGGATTCTTGTTGTAATGCGCGGCGATGAGAAATATGTTCAGAAGGCCTTCCATATGCGAGTGTCCTGGGTTTCAGAGCAGGTCTGCTGGATGTGTTCTGCATCTAGGGTGAGGGACTCACAGAACTTGTACACATACTTTGGGCCAGGAGCTGGCCATCGATTGTCGCTGATCGGTTTGGAAGATTTCATTTGCCAGATTTGTAGACCCAACGGATGGGTTCGGATTCCTGGCTTTCACCCCCAAATGTTGTTCTACGACTTTCTGCATGTCTTTGATTTGACGCTTGTGCCGGATGCTGCTGCAAGTGCACTTTGACGATATAAATCACGTTTGTTTTATGTGCGTTGCAGTTAGAAGCCAGTTCGTGTTTGCAAACACAGATGTTGCTATTTTCATCGGACCAACCATGCAGGCATTAGTAGAACTGTCGGAGACCAACATTGTGTGGCCTGGTGACTGTGTTGATGACCGTCTGCGCAATGCGCATG